CCCCCCTCACCTTATGCAACTCCACAGTGCCTTTTTGCACTTGCTCTCGTACGTAATGCCACCGTAATTCAATGTGGCGCGTACGTCTGCTGTAGGTAGGATTAGTTGCCATCACGTGAGCAGCTTGACTGTCAATTCCTATACGCAATTTCACATCGTGCTGCGGTAACATCTCTTGCAAAACATTTTTCGCAGCAACTGCCTACATTGTGGCTTCACACGCTGCAATGTACTCCGCCTCCGCGGTCGACAAAGCGATGACGGATTGTCTTCGTGACATCCCATGCTACAGCTCCGCCTGCCAGCATAAACACGAAACCAGTAGTGCTCTTCCTTTGATCTGGGTCATTAGCCCAATCACTGTCACAGTAACCCTGCAACACCAACTCCTTCGAGTTGTTCTTCTTTTTCTCGTACTTGATTCCATAATCCAAGGTCCCGGCCAAGTAGCGCAGCACTCTCTTTACCGTTCCAATATGCTTCGCCGATGGGTTCGCTACGAAGCGACTCAGTTGGCCTAATGAATAAGCCAAGTCCGGTCTGGTACTTGTAGCCAGGTACATGAGCATACCAATGGCTTCACGGTACGGAAAGCTGCCGTCTGCACTCTCCTTCTCTCCAAGAGGTGTGAGCCGTGAATTTACTTCCATTGGATTTCCTACTGCATGTGCATTTTCAAATCCCAGCTTGCCAAGAATCTCTCTTGCGTACTTGCCTTGACTGATCATAATGTACTCTGACGTGTGAGTCACTTCCACACCTAAGTACTGTGTTAACAGCCCTTGGTCCTTGAGACCGTACGTGTTGTCCAAGTCCATGAACAACTGATCTTTGTACTCCTTGCTGTTTGTTGCAACCAAGATATCATCGACGTATACTAGCACGTATACCATCGTGCCACCATCAAACAGGTAGTACAGGCACGGCTCCGTCAACGATCTTTGGTATCCACGCTGAATGAACCAATCATTTAGTTCTGAATTCCATTCTCGACCCGATTGTCTTAATCCATACAAAGCCTTGAGTACCACGTAAGAATGGCCACTCACTCTGCACGGATATCCGTTGATGGAGTGTAGATATTGTCGTATGCCTAGCCATGCATTGAGGTAAGCGGTATTCACGTCTCCTCCGTATACCTCTAATCCCAGTAATGCCGCCAGTCCCAACAACAGTCTAAACGAAGCCATTCTTCTCACAGGGGCAAACGTTTGAGGACGTCAAAAAGGGTCGAAGGCTATTAGTCAAATCCACTCTATGCCCGAAGTCGGATCTCAGGGCTACGTAATAAGACTTCAAGCTCAGATAGTGGCGTTGGGGAACACCAGCGCACAGGCATCACTCAAGGAAACG